TGCTGCCTCCCTGAATTCATCTGTCACTTCCCCATGCTCCATCCACCGCAGCTACATGAGTGTGCTATTCTTTTTTTTTTTTTAAAGATTTTATTTATTTGACAGATCAAGAGTACAAGTAGGCAGAGAGGCAGGCAGAGGGAGAGGGAGAAGCAGGCTCTCCGCTGAGCAGGGAGCCCGATGCGGGACTCCATCCCAGGACCCTGGGATCACGACCTGAGCCGAAGGCAGCCGCTTAACCGACTGAGCCACCCAGGTGCCCCTGAGTGTGCTATTCTTGAGTTACCCTGGTAGGTGTCTTCTCAGGGCCTTTGCACTAGCTGTTCCATCTGCTTAGAAAACTCCTCCCACATACCTGTATAATGCACACCCTCGTCACACTCAGGCCTTTGCTCAAATACTTCCTTCTTAATGAGGCTTTCCCTGACCACCCTGTATAGGGGTGTTAAAACTGCCCTCCCCTCCCTGCTCAGTGGGAGTCAGGAGTCTGCTTCTCCCTCTCCTCCCTGCTCGTGCTCTTTCTCGTTATCTGTGTCCCTCTCTCAAATAAAATCTTAAAAAAACCCAGAAAAACCTGCCCTCCCCTAAGCAATTCCCTATCCTCTTTGGCTGTATTCTTTTTTTTCCATAGCACTAAACACCAGCATAATATATACTTTATTTTCTGACACATCACACTAGAACATGAGCCTTATAGTGCAGGGATTTTGCCTTTTTTTTTTTTTTTTTAAGTTGCTGTATCTGCAGAGGCTAGAATACCTGACAAATAGGCACCCGATTATTTGCTAAATAAGTTAATGTCACCCTTTCCCTTATGTATGTAGCTGTTGGTCTTTTAGCTTTATTTTTAAAAAAAGATTTATTTGAGAGAGAGAAGAGAGCACAAGTGGGGTGAGGGGCAAAGGGAGAAGCAGACTCCCTTTGAGCAGGGACCCCCGTGCAGAGTTCAGTCCTGGGACTCTGGGATCATGACCTGAGCTGAAGGCAGATGCTTAACCAACTGAGCCACCCAGGCGCCTATATATATATATATATATTTTTTTTTTTTTTTAAATATACATAAGCCTCTTTTTTGTCATTAAGCCAAATATCTCACTTGCCTTGAGCTTTCTTGTTCCGGTGTTTTCTCTACCTAGAATATTCCTTCCTTCTGCACCTCGTCCAGAATTACTTCCCCGTTCTCCCTTCCCATCTCCCTTACTTCCATCTAGACATGACCTTGAGCCACAGCACTGTATCTCTCCAGGGCATTTACCTCTTTCTTTATGGGGTTTTGTATGCATGTAGCCCAGTTACTGGATTGCAGACTCTTTCAGAGACAAATTCAGGACCCTTTTTGTCATCTGTCTCCCCTTTATTCCATTGAAAGAGCAGCCTAGACAAAACTCAGAGCTGAGTCGCTTGCTCAGTGGCAATACTTAACTTTGTTTATCCTCATTTTCTGGCGATCAGGGACATATATATTGAAATATACTTCACAGCGTGAGGCATCTATACAAGGTAATGACTTTAAGTATTAAATGAAAGTAACATTAAATAATATGGAATCAGCCAGGGAAAATAGTTTCCTCATGCTTTTTAGCCCTATCTTTCTGTTAGGGAAAAAGTATCAATACTCAACATTTGTAACATCTAACACTTCCTCTTTTTTTAAAACCTAGGCATCTAGATCAGAGCCTTTGGCAGACCACAGTAGCTGCTTACTAAAAAATACTGTTTCGTTTTTACTGTACTTGTTTTTAAGGCTACATCTAAACATGTGATACTAATTTTCCATTTACAGAAGTGATAAAAGTGTTCCTCTTAAAACTATATTTCAAAATGAGGTCACTCAGGAGTTCACTTCTGCCTGTGATGTAGGTATCTGGAAAGAGTGTCATTCCCTGCTCAAAAAGAAAAGGTGGGTAGATGATAAAATCATACATTTTATTGGATCTGTCAGCTGATGTGGCAAAGCAGCCAAATAGCCTGAATTTCAAGGAGGGACAGACCCTTCCAAGGAGAGATCAGACTTGTAGACTGACTCACCCGTAGCACAGCACGAGAAGAAGTGTTGACCACATATGAGAGGTAAGAGGAAATCAAGGAAAACCTTAAAGAACTGTTAAAAAGGCCAAACTTGGGCTAACAAGACAGTATAAAATCCCTGGGAGCCTAAGACACTAAAGGAGTTTGCGTGCACTCACAAGCTCTTTCTAAAACGTCCACCAGGTATTCATTAGAAAGACCTGCAGGGAAAGGAGGATGCTGGAGCTCTACAGAGCTTCCTTGGTTTGGAGGCATGTGGGAGAGATCTGCTACTGTGGGAAAGGCAGGAGAGCTTGCCTCCTCCTGTCCAGGCTCTTCCCTCATAAGGAGTAAAAAAGGCCTAAGCCACTCAGGGAGCAACGGAAAATCATGTCTCCCCAGGGCACAGGTAAAGACCCATTGCTGCTGGGACCTGGTAAGAAAAAACCTCTACTCTTGGGGGTGGGGACAAGACTCAGTCCTGAGCCCCAGGATTCCATACCAATCAATACCATGAAAGTTCTACCACTGTGGGAAGGACAGGAAACTCTCTCCCACAAGGCCCGCTCTGAACACAAGTCATGGTTTGGCTGCCACAGATAGGAGGGGCAAGAATGTTGAGAAAAATCCATTCCCAAGGCCTGGCCACAAAGGACCTACTGAAGACTGAGGCTGAACTGAAACAACCCCCAGCCCATTCCCAACTACCAACCTAGCAAGGAGCTAATAACTAATTAACAGCTGCAGGGGGATAGGCAAGGCCATAGAGACTTAACACTATGGTTCAGGTGTGCAGGACAGCTGAAAGCTAAGGATATGAAATATGAACACTTGAGAAAAGTTCTTCAGCCCCATCCGAAAGCACAAAGTAATGCTAGAGGATATAAAATCTGTAATGCACTGAAGGCAACCATAGCAACAACAAAACCCAAACCCAGCTCAGTTTCTGACTGGATTGACCAAATCCTACACAAAAAGCCTGACTGAACAGATCTGCCCATTTCCAAGCATTAATACTTGTCTATCTCAGTCTACTGTTAGATAAGCAATGGCTGGCATTCAATAAAAAATTTGAGTTACACAAAGAAGCAAGAAAAAGCAACTCATTTTTCATAGGCAAAGTAAGACCATATACAGATATGCCCCAAATGTTGGAACTATCAGACGGGGACTTAAACTCTGATTAATATGTTGAAAAATCTAGTAATAAATACGGATAATATGTATGAACATTTCAGCAGAGAGGCAGAAACTATAAGAAAGGGACAAACTGAAATAAACACAGGATCAGAGATGAAGAATATCCTCTATGTACTCATCAGTAGACTCATCATAGCTGAGGAAAAAGAGTGGAAACACAGTATTCAAGATCTATGGAACAATGACTGACATGTATAATTGGAGTCCCGGATGGAGAAGAAATTAGGCAGAAGAATATTTAAAGAAATGATGTCTAAGAGTTTGCAAAACAGGGGTACCTGGCTGGCTCAGTCAGAAAAGCATGTGACTTGATCTCGGGGTCGTGAGTTTGAGCCCCATGTAGGGTGCAGAGATTACTTAAATAAAAATTTTAAAAACTGTGGGCGCCTGGGTGGCTCAGTTGGTTAAGCGACTGCCTTCGGCTCAGGTCATGATCCTGGAGTCCTGGGATCGAGTCCCACATCGGGCTCCCTGCTCAGCAGGGGGTCTGCTTCTCCCTCTGACCCTCTTCCCTCTCATGCTCTCTGTCTCTCATTCTCTCTCTCACAAATAAATAAATAAAATCTTAAAAAAAATTTTTTTTTAAACTGTAAAAAAAAAAAAAAAGAATTTGCAAAAGATAACAGACCATAGGGGCACCTGGCTGGCTCAGTCAGTAGAGCATGTGACTCTTGATCTTGAGGTTCTGGGTTCGAGCCCCAGGCTGGGCATAAAGTTTACTTTAAAATAAAAAATAAGAAAGGGGTGCCTGGGTGGCTCAGTTGGTTAAGCATCTGACTCTTGACTTCAGCTCAGGTCTTGATCGCAGGGTTGTGAGATCGAGCCCTGAATCCAGCTCTGCGCTGAGCATGGAGCTTGCTTAAGATTCTCTCTCCCTCTACCCCTACCCCCCCACTAAGAAAAAATAAAATCTTTTTTAAAAAGGTAACAAACCATAGATTCAAGAAACTCATATAAATCCAATAACTTTCTCATCCGGGAAAACATATACTTACATTTGATCAAGTAATCCCCCTCTTTTGTATTTAAAATGAAAACGTATGTCCATACAACATGTATGTGAATGTTATGATGGCTTTATTTATATTCACGAAATCTGGAACAACTCAAATGTCTATCATCTGGGAATATGGATTTTTTAAATCCCCCTGGTTCATTATACTTCTTAGTAATAGAAAGGAACAAATTACTGATACATGTAACAATATGGATTTGTGGCTTCATTTTTAGTTCCATGACAAGAAGTTACTTAATTTCTCTAAACTTCAGTTTGCTTTTCTATAAAGAAAAGGGGGGGACAATCATACTTGCCTAGAGGGTAGTGGTTGCCAGATAAAATATAGGACATCCAGCTAAATTCGACTTTCAGATAAACGAGTCATTTTTTAGTATAAATATGTTTGGGACATATTTATACCAAAATATGGTTTGTTGTTTATCTGAACTTCAACTTTAACGAGACCTTCTGTGTTTTTGTTTGCTAAAGCTGGCAACCTTACAGAGAAATTGTGAGAATTAAGATATTGGCACAGCAAGACGTTCGCTCACCATTAGGCATAATAAGCGTTCCATGGGAGCAAACGCTGTTTTAATCCCAGTCCCTCATTCCTTACTTTTTCCTTTATTTTTTTGCTCCATTTAAAATAAATCAACTGTTCTTGTGGCTCTTCTTCCCAAACACGGACCAACTTGAAGAGAGCACCAGGTTTCAACCCACTAGCACTCCAACTGTTAAGCGAAGAAATTCCAGGTGACGTCATGACGCACAAGGACCGCCCCCAAGGGCGCCCACGACGCATAAATAAGACGTCAACGGGCCGGGAGCCTGCCTCGGGGTCTGACGGGATTGTGGCGGTCCTCTTTCCCAACTCGGAAGCCACCGCTGCCTCCAGACGCTCTCAAGATGGCGACCTCTCTGGGATCCAACACCTACAACAGGCAGAACTGGGAGGATGCGGTGAGTATGCCTGCCGGAGGAGGACAGAGAGAGGCGGCGGAGCCGGGCCTCCTTCGGGCAGGCAGGGCCGTGGTTATGGAGCGGCCGAGGGAATTCCGGGCAGGAGCCAACGCTGCGGCCTAGCTCGGCCAGAGCGGGAGGCTGGAGGGCGGCCCTCCTCCTCCGGGCTTGGAGGGAGGGGGCTTAGCCAGGGTCTCGGACCAGCCCGCTTTCCACCCCTGCCCTCTCCACTGACTTCGAGCTGGTCTTTTCTCCCGCCACCTGCCGGAAGTGCAGACAGCGCCCCCTCCCGCGACCCGGCCCGTCCTGGACCTCGGGTTCCTGCCCTACCCTGTCCCCCACCCTCGCTCCTCGCCTCCCCTCCCCCCCCCCGCCCCGTCCCCAAGAGTGTGGCAGAGATGGCAGGGTCTTCGGAGCCTGGCTCTCAACCACATTTCCCATTTTCACCAGGACTTCCCCATTCTGTGTCAAACGTGTCTTGGAGAAAACCCATATATCCGAATGGTGAGTGATCGCGTGTGAAAAGGGAGTTTATTCAGGTTCTGTCAATGTTGTGGTATTTGCACGCTGTCCGTGAAATGCTTCTCTTAGCCAAGCCAAAGTATTGATGCTCCTTTACTAACCGAAAGCATAGGACGATTTGCAAAGGACTGTCATGCTTATTCTGTCTTTAGGACTCAGCAGCAGTCCTGCGATGTAGGAGTCCTAATATAACAGGTAATATTTGTTCAGCATTTATTTACCTAACAGTTAGGTCTGTTAACCAGAGGCAGAGACAGTTACGTCTTTTCAATATGGCAAGTAAGGAGTGGAGCTTGGATTTAAATTCAGATATGCTGACTCCAGGAAACTTAGCAAGGTAGGAGGAGAACCAGGACTAAATTAAGCGTCCTGACTCCTAATCAAATGCCTTTTGGCCACTGCACCTTCTAGTCTGTTTAACGTAAGGTAACCCCATCCTTATAAATGAGGGTAAAATAATCAGTAATTAACATTTAATAATTAGAATAGGGCTATGTTGTGATCGATCTCAGAGATCTTCATTGACTCTATATAGAGTATCTGACAAGATGGGTCTATAGGAGTTACCCCTGACTAACTTGTAAAATGGGCTGGCCAGAGCTATGTCCTCCGTGATTTGAGGACTGTAGAAACTGTTAGGAATTTTAATTCCTAGGGAGAGAACTTGGGAGCCAGAAGTGAACCTAAGAATTGTGGCAATGGAAAGATACATATTAACTTAGAGCCAAAAATTCTTAAGAGGTTATGATTCACAGTAGCTGGTTAGAATATATCTCCTCTCTCGCACCTCCAGTAGTGATCCATCACTACCACCTTATTAAGATGCCGGGGATCTACAGACACATTTCTTGGGTTGTCTTTATGGAAGGAGCAGACATCTAGTTTTTGTTTTCTGTAACTTGCTCTTTTCAATTTTTTCTGTTTCAGACCAAAGAGAAGTATGGGAAGGAATGTAAAGTAAGTATGTCTGTTAAAGAATAATGATTTATTTTCCTTTTCTTTTCAACTTGCTGGGCTTTGAGGTTCTCCAATAAAAGCCAGTGCTACACAGACTTTCATATATCATTTGTATACTAATTGACTGTTAACAGTTTAGTGTGAGAGGTAAGAAAGTGAGCCCTTTAATGTAAAGGTTCTTAACCTGGTGTCTGTGGATGGGCTTTGAACCCTCTTGAGATGATATACTGAGTGTTGTCTGAAAATTCACATAAGGATTTTAGCAGAGGAGGAAGGTCATAGCTGGCATAAGATTCTTAAAGGAGTATATGGCACTCCCCATTGCCCCCTCAAAAGGATTAATGGTCATATTATTAGTGGTGGTTGTCTCTAGTGTGGGGAGGACTTTGACTCTAATATTTCATTTCTGTACTATGCGAATTTTTTAACTCCTGGGGAAGGGTGTTATAAATGGGATTGAAACATCAGATGGTATTTAGACTACATAATTGCTAAGGTCTCTTTTAAACCGTAGATTCAAGGATCTTTTCTTTCAGTCTCCCATTGTTATTAAATCTTCAGGCCTTAATTGTCCAGATCAGAACCATTAACACTCTTTGACTCTTATTTTGTTTTCCCAGATCTGTGCCAGACCATTCACAGTGTTTCGTTGGTGCCCCGGGGTCCGCATGCGTTTCAAGAAAACTGAAGTGTGCCAAACTTGCAGTAAATTGAAGAATGTCTGTCAGACCTGCCTCTTGGACCTGGAGTACGGTATGTTTGCCCTGTCTAACAGGTCTGAAAGCATGCAGGTGCCCGTGCCCTAGACGACAAACCAGTCTTTTTCTTTTCCCATTTCTCACCCCATCTCTGGTTCTGACCCCACTTTGGAGGGCCTCCTGTGCTCTACTTTCCGTAGAAGAGGAGAATCATACTAGGCCATTCTAGAGCCCTTCTGAGTAACAGGAAGGACTTAAGGAAAAGTTGGGAATTAATCAGAACTAGCCCAAATCTTTCTCATATACATCCCTATAGCCAAAGTGAGGGAAAGGCATCGTTCCTGTGATAGGTAATTGCTTTGCCTTGGGCTTCTTTCAAGATTCAGAGCTCATTCCCACAATCCCTACCAGAAGCATTGGCTAATTATGTTTTAGATTTTTCTCTGAACTGTGTTTTTAGGACTGATATACTGTAACTGCTACTATTTTAAGAGTAACTGCTTTGGGAGTGATTTTTTTTTTTAACTAAAAGTGACTTTTTGTTAATGAGAAAAATAATTTTTCAACAAGAATTTCTACTATACAAGAAAAGGGAAAATATAAGTTTATATATATGTGAAGTTCAGAAAGACAGCTGCTAATCAAAGTTCTGGTCACATATTGTTTAATATTATTTATATATTTGTTAAAAGAAGTGTTCCGCTTCTGGAAGACTGTGATCCTTACATGCCTGTGACTATCCAGAGGACCTATAAGGATCACTCACTTTTGGGGCACCTGGGTGGCTCAGTCACTTAAGTGTCTGCCTTTGGCTCAGGTCATGATCCCGTGGTCCTGGGATCAAGCTCCACATCTGGCTCCCTGCTCAGTGGGGAGCCTGCTTCTCCCTCCCTGTACCTGCTTGTGCATGTGCGTGCATGTGTGCTCTCTTTCTCTCTCTCTCTCTGTGTCAAATAAATACGTACATACATACTTTAAAAAAAAAAACCCACTTTTTACACTTATTTAAATAAACGCTGTTCTAGTAAAAGCTATTATTTATTATTTAAGCCATTATTTATTAATTACAGGTCAAGTTTGACTGTAACCAAATGTTGTTCATCTAAAATATGTTCTAAAACATTGATTTCAAATTTCATGACAGCTCAGGAATTTGGACAGTTTCATAGAATACTCTGTGGTAGTTTTGGCCTGATGGTAATAAAGATTTTGAATAAAAATAAAGCCTCCAATACCTAGGAAGCTGGAGAAGGGAATAATGATGTTGTATTCCATGTGCAGGTTCAGTATGGATTTGTTTTAAAATATATCTTGAAGTTTTTTCCTCTTTTCCTTTGTACTAGGGCTGCCCATCCAGGTTCGTGATGCAGGATTGTCTTTTAAGGATGACATGCCAAAGTCAGATGTCAACAAAGAGTACTACACACAGAATATGGAGAGAGAAGTATGCTGTCACTTTCTTGATGTAATTTTATATTTGGTAGAATCCTAGTGATTTTACACAGTCTATAAAATTTATCTTTGGAACTTGTCGTTCCTTTATAGATTTCTAACTCTGATGGAACGCGGCCGGTTGGCATGTTGGGGAAAGCCACCTCCACCAGTGACATGTTGCTCAAGCTGGCCCGGACCACACCCTACTACAAGAGGAATCGACCCCACATTTGCTCCTTCTGGGTAAAAGGAGAATGTAAGAGAGGAGAGGAATGTCCATACAGGCAAGAACTGAATTGGCACTTTCGTAATTGGCTTTCAGATGATTAGTCATTTAAGAAATGGGAGGTGCTAGTTTAAAGTATTTCTGATTTAAAATCTACAAGTGTATACAACTAGTATGATAGATGTCATGTCTTAGGGCTATTACATTTAGAAGAGCTTGTTGAAATTGTTGTTTTTATTTGTAATGGGACTTTTACTCATAACTAGGCCTTGGGAAACTAAGTTGTTATACCATATAATACAGATGTTGACTCTAAAGGTAAGTCATCATTGTCATGGTATAACTAGCTTGAATCTCAGTGTATAGTTGAAGTCCAATGAAGGCCAGGCCTCTAAAGGGTGTGTGAGTATGTTTCAGTCAAGACTGCCGAGCATCTGGACTAGGAGTTTTTTTTTTTTTAAGATTTTACTTATTTATTTGACAGAGAGAGGGAGATAGTGAGAGCAGGAACACAAGCAGGGGGAGTGGGAGAGGGAGTAGCAGGCTTCCTGCTGAGCAGGGAGCCCGATGCGGGGCTTGATCCCGGGACCCTGGGACCATGACCTGAGCCGAAGGCAGACGCTTAACGACTGCACCACCCAGGCGCCCCTGGACTAGGAGTTCTTAACTTGAGGTTGGTTAACCCCACACCCACAAAAAAAGATTATGCTTTTTTCTGGGGCTGGTCCATTAGCTTTAACGAGACTCAGTGGCATGCAAGACCTCAGATACATTAAGAAACATTTACCGAGAGAAGGGGAACCATGTTTTGGTTACTTCTTGTTTTGGAGCGGATTGTGCCAAAAGCATTTCTTGATTAAAAAAACTCTGTTACCTTAGATGGCCATTTAAATGGCTTTTAGGAGACTGGCAAGTTTTTGTGTGATACAGTAAATCCTTTGGTATTAGCTCCGTCTTGATAATTGTGTTTCGGTGTGGTTTCTAGTTCAGAAGGCATTTCCGGTATGTGTATGTAGCTGCTGTTGGGTGATACCTGTAAATTCTTTTCCCTTGTTTCACCTTTATGTGCTGTTCTTTTCTGAACCATAGACATGAGAAGCCAACAGATCCAGATGACCCCCTTGCTGACCAGAACATTAAAGACCGATATTATGGTATCAATGACCCTGTGGCAGATAAGCTTCTAAAGCGGGCTTCAACAATGCCTCGTCTGGACCCACCAGAGGACAAGACTATCACCACACTGTATGTTGGTGGTCTGGGTGATACCATTACTGAGACTGATCTAAGGTTTGTAGATAAAATTTTATGAGCTCTTTCTGCTTTTAACTGCCCTGGAATACTTTTTTAGCAAAAACACAGCAAGCATGATAATTCTGTACAAAGTACATTTTTCTTTAGCCACTCTATAGTTAGTATCATGCCAACTAGAATTTTTATAAAATTATCCTTTCCGATGCCAAAGTGGTAATGTTCATCAACAGTGCTTGCTTAGTCCTTGCGTATAGTAATGATTACGTGAGATTTTTTTTTTTTTTTTTTTTTTTTGGAGAGAGGGCACGTGAGCAGGGAGCCAGGGGGATGAGGGGCAGAGAGGGAGAGAGAGAATCTTAAGCAGGCTCCACGCTCAGCATGTCACTGACACAGGGCTCAGTCTCACAACCTTGAGATCATGACCTGAGCCTAAATCAAGAGTCGGACGCTTAACTGAGCCACCAAGGCTCCCCTATGTGAGATTCTATTTGACCTAATAGCCAGTTAGAATTTTTAAAATATGGCACATATCCAAGTATGATTAATTATGTCAAGGAGGGAGAACTTGGCAATTATAAAGCTCTTACAGTTTAAATTGTTGACTTTTTAAAGAGATTTGTATTTGCTGTATTTGTATTATCCTTGGCTTGTATTTTGCTTGGCTAGATGAGACATCTGGATAGATAGTGATGGAAATTGCCTCTTGCAAAGAGATAAATGAAGAAGAGTCTCCTATAAGTATATAACATGCCTTCCATAACCTCTGTTAAACCTGATCTGAGTGAGCTAGACTGTCCCTGCAGTTGGCAGATGTTTCTGTGCTCCTCCTCCTCCCTTTTATTTCGTCATTGTCATCGTTGTCGTTTTACAATCTTAAATTTTTTGAATATTCTTGGTTCATGGGCCATGGGGGCTGTAGTTTGCCAGACCCTTATGTAGGGCTTAGGTCCCTAAGGAACCTGCTGGACCCCTTTTTCCTCCATGGGAAAAACCTCTGAGATGTTTGTAAACCTTTATTTACTCATTATTTTTCTTACTCTTTCAGTAAGTAGCACCCACAGTAGGGCAGGGTACTGGGGGGACTACCTGCAGGTGGTTAGACAGATAACCATGGGGCCACCTGCTTCGTGAGTCAGCGGAAGAGTGAATAATCCATCACAGCCTCCTGGGAGGATACCATTAACTCTCCTGTTTCTCTGCCTGTATCCCTTCAGAAATCACTTCTACCAGTTTGGGGAAATTCGGACGATCACTGTCGTGCAAAGACAGCAGTGTGCATTCATCCAGTTTGCCACGAGGCAGGCTGCAGAGGTGGCTGCAGAGAAGTCATTTAATAAGTTGATTGTCAATGGCCGTAGACTCAACGTGAAATGGGGAAGGTGAGAATTAGACTCTTAAAATTTCTTTATTGAGATTTTCAAGAAAATGTTCCATTATCTGGGGACCAGTATGTTTTTGGTGAATGGATTTAAATCAGTAGGACCGTTAAAAAGATTTTTTCATTTTCTAACACTGCAATCTTGTGGATGTTGGGAAGATCCTGCTTTGGAAATTCATTCAGGGTTTTGATGTAGTAATCTACTCCTTTGAAGGTTCGTGTTTTTTATGACCAGCTATTATAGGCCAAGTGTGATGCCAGGGTATGAAAAGTGGATTTGAGAGTGTACAAATGCCTTAGACCTAGATTCTGCCCTTTAGAGGCCAGTTGTCCAGTGGAGAAGAAAAGCTAATTCAAGTTTTTGAAAGTGATGATTGTGTAAGAGAGACTCAGGTGAAATGCCCTGAAGGTTCAAAGGGAGGACAGGTTTCTGGCTTAGAAGCAGGAAGGAGATCACTAAAAGCAGCGCCCCAGACCAAGTGCTTCTGGTGTGCTAAGTCAGCACTGTGCCAAACACACAGAGGTAGCCTCTTCTCGTCCATACAACATTTTCAGCAGATTTTGGATCCAGGTCTTTCTGGCTTTAAAACATTTGCTTTTATCCACTCTGCACTGTGGCCTTTATGGGGAAGGAGTGTTTGCCGAAGACAAGGCAAGAAGCGAAGGATCTCTGCTTGACTAAGAAAATGAGAAGCAGACGTGTGAGAGAAGGTGGGACCAAGTGCTGACATTGTGTGTGTGTGTGTGTATGTCCCTCCCAGGTCCCAAGCAGCCAGAGGAAAAGAAAAAGAGAAGGATGGAACCACAGACTCTGGGATCAAGCTTGAGCCCGTTCCAGGACTGCCAGGAGGTGAGTGCAGACTTTCTGGCCCCCCTCCCCCGCCCCGTAGCTGGCTGACTTCAGATGCTCACACTGCCCTAATGTTCCTCATTGTGAGGAGAGACCAGCTGGCTGGGTCTCTGGCTCCTGCAGCAGCCCTTCTCTGTCAGCAGGAGCCCAGGACTTATAGGAGGGGAAACAGTATTGCACCGTTGTCTTCCCTCCAACTGTTGGCTCTTTTCTGTTCTCCAGCTCTTCCTCCTCCTCCTGCAGCAGAAGAAGAAGCCTCTGCCAACTACTTCAACCTCCCCCCGAGTGGTCCTCCAGCTGTGGTGAACATTGCACTGCCGCCACCCCCTGGTATTGCCCCGCCCCCACCCCCAGGTAACATCCATCGTCCTTCTCAGTAGATAGGTCTAGCTTAGCCCAGAAAAATCCTTGTGAGAGTCCTGTCTTCGCACCTCATTATCATGTCTAAATCCTTTGAATTTCCCCCATAGAAGTTTGCAAGTAAACCTGATTTGTTAGGGTCCCTGATCTTTGCTTTTTTTTTCCGGCCTGCCAAGGAGAGGAAAGTTGCCAGAACTAAAGATCTGAGTATATATATAATCAGAATGGGAGTTACTGGATTACAGTTATCTATCATCAGTTTGTCCCCTGTTCTAAACTAAATCCTAACTAATGTCCTAGAGTGTCATTGCTTAAAGTGGATGTGTGTCACTGTACAAAGCATTCATTACCTGTCTATAAGATACAGAGCTTGTGCCTGGATATAAATTCATTAAGAGAGTCTTGTTAGAAAAGTGTGTCAGATGAACTAAACAGGGTGCTTGGTCTTGTAATTAAGTTAAATTTTGGCTCAAGTTACATATGGCTTTATCTTTGGGGGTGGGGGGTGGCAGTAATAAACAGTTCCAGGACCAGCACTTTGTATCGTGCTGCTCTAGAAGCTGTCAGTGACAATGTGAAAAGTGTAGGTCAATCACAAGTGGCCATTTCTCCTGTGGCAGAGTCCCCATCCTCTTTAATGAAGTCCTGGTTTTTGAACACCCTCCATTCTAGGATAAAGCATTGATGTTGGTGGTGGCAGGGTCTTGCCTCCGCCTGATTTCTTCCTCCCCTCCCAAATCCTGATTGAATCCTGGCCAGTAGGGGTGGCGTATTTGATAGATACCAGAGGTTCAGATGACATACTAGCAGATACCTTGAGTCCCGTGGAGTTTTCTTTTAACTTGGTTTGAGGGGACATTGTAAAACCAAGGAAGTATTACAGGTAGACGTTCCTAAGCAAGTCTGTGAACTGACATTTTCTGAAGCCCCTTGTCAGCTTGGTTTCTGTGTAGGTGGTTTTGACCTTAGAAAGACTCAGAGGTTTGAAAGGTTGTCAAGGAAACTGCAAGCCTAACAAATTTGTCCTCTCCCATCTGCAGGTTTTGGGCCACACATGTTCCACCCAATGGGACCACCCCCGCCTTTCATGAGGGCTCCAGGACCAATCCACTATCCTTCTCAGGACCCTCAGAGGATGGGCGCTCATGCCGGCAAACACAGCAGTCCCTAGCACATTATCACCACTCCGGGGCTTTACAGAAGAAAGGGCGCTTAAAAATCCCAGTACATGAATCTTGGAATAAATATATTTTTCCTTCCTTTGTAGTTTCCATGGTAGCTGAATGTGTTCAGATGTGGGCAGTCGGAGAACGACAGCCGTGCTTCCCTACACGTATTCCAAGGATTGATGGACCTCAAATAAGCTGCCATTAACACATCTGGTTACTACTATAACATTACTAATCAAACTTAATGCCTGTTCTCCTTACTTCTATGGCGAACAAGCAACTGGGTGAATTGGAATGTCTAACGGAGTTACCATCCCAATTGTATGTTCATTTTGTATCTTTTTTGGGGGGAAAAAATTGACCTGCAGTAAAATCTTTTTGACCATTTTTATGTCCATTGGGTATTTTTCCTTTTATCATCTGCAAAAAGATTACTAGTACTAATCATTGTAGTGGCATGAGTGTGATTTAACACTTCAGAAGTCACCATTAAAGAGACAAGTAGAAACCGGCACCCAGCACAACCCAGATCTTTTCTTACCTCTCCTTTCCTCATTTATTACTAAAGGAATCTGGCGGATAGTTTTACCTCTCTGTGCTACCAAAACAAGACAAAAACAAAAACTGCTTTTTAATTCCCGTCAATTGGATGGAATTGGATCCAGGTCTTTCTGGCTTTAAAACATTTGCTTTGGAAATGTTTCTGGAAACAGAAATGTCATGGAGCTGCGTATTATTGAAGAAATCTGGTGTCTGGGATGAACTTATGTTAAAGAGCTTCCTGTAAAACACGTGAGCAAACTGAGCCGAAAGGCACCGGCGCGTGTTGGAAGACCTGTGACCTGCAGCTAGCTGGGACTGTCACCTCTAGCATTCACCTTCGTGTGTCTTCAGTGTCACGTCTTCAGCCCCTGCTTCTGGCCAGGGCACTCTGTTTGGTCTTAGAATGGTCTTAGAATGTTTGGATATAACTGAATTGTAGATGGTAAAAATAATTGGATGTTGTATTGTGTTTTTTGTTTTTAAAAAATTAAAACGGGTCAATTTTCCAAACGTTGTCATAGGCTTATTTCTAGATTTTTGTTTTCCTTATCCTTTGGTAGCTCACCTTGAAGTTGGTAGAAGTTAGAAACCAGTACATTTTTGGCTTTAGACTGTTTTGATTTTTATCTGTGCCCATTTTATGATGGAAAAAAAGGCCCAGGCCATTTTAGTAAGTACTTAAGGGTTTGAGATTGAAATAAGATAATGCACAGAGGGCACTCCGTGCAGAACCTGCCGTGTGGTGGTTGATAAGTGGTAGCTTTAAAAAGTCACTGCCATAGTTTATACAAGTCATTTTAAAGGGAAACAAGCAAAAATTACCTGAAATTCCATTTCTCCGGGAGCTGATTCCGTGTCACTTACCTAAAATATATACTAATGGGGTGGACATAACCCATATAAAACCCATTTTTAGCTTCTCTGGAGAATTTTTTTTTCCTCTAGAAGCCTTCATCGTGGGGGTATTTTTTGTTTGTTTTTTTATTAAGTTTTTTTAAGTTTTAAAAATCTAAAAGGATTTAGAAAATCTGATTTAATTTCTAGTAATACCAAATGTGAATCAATGAGGGTACTTCCAAGTATTTTGACACCATTTTGGGTAGGGTTGAGTTTGTTTTTGTTTTTGGCCTACTTCTGAACATGTAAAAGATTTTTAGCCAATTTGTGAATAAGATGTGGATTACATATGGTGTTTTAATAATTGCCAAGTTTATATCTGTACATGTATATATACATATATAAATATATGACTCCAATTGTATATTCTTGCCTTTCTGAGAAGGAGGAGAGTCTAAATTTTGTGCACTGTCTGGCTATGGATATATATTTTTTGAAAAACATAATATGCCAGCATAAATTAAAGTATAGAAATGATGCTCAATCTTTCTTGAGTAAATCAGAATTAAGAGCAATTAGATTTTGACAAAAACTCTTAAGTACTTAACCACCTCCGTTTCCTTTTCCTCTAGGGCACACAGCTGGGGGCACACTTGGTGAAAAGTAACCTTTGCCATTCCCAGACCAGGTCTGTAAAAACATCTCACTTAATCCTATGAGCTCTTTCGCCCTCCGGCTAAATACACTGGAGAATGATGAAGATGGCAGAATCACACAGAAGGAGCCTAGGTTTTCTATCACTGCTTTGAAGATAGAGCATTGTAATGGGAGGAATTTTTGTTATAGTAAACTTTTGAGACAGATTTATCTGTTAACAGCAGCTAGTGTTACTCTAGTAACAGAGATGTAGCTGACCCTCATCACAAAAAAAAAAACCCCATTTTTTTTTTATACCGAGTGGTTTAAACAAACAGACTCTGGAGCCAGCTTACTGCGTTCAGATTCTCACTTAGGCACCTCCCAGCTGTGTGCCCTTGGGCACATTACTTAGCCTTTGTCTACTTGTCATAATGCCTCCCCCACCAGCTCTTGTTGCTGCCTGTAGTATTTTGAGGTCCTCCCCTCATGGAGAAGGCTCAAAAGGTACAGCATCATGATAGCTGAACTAACGCAGCTCATGGGGCAAAGAGTGATGTGACAGATGTTTTAGAAGCCAAGTCAGTGAACCAGTGTAATGTCACCTGAAATAAATGGAAGTGAAAGAGCGGTCCAGGATGACCCCCCAGGTCTCTGGTTTGCTCAAATGGGCAGAAGGATGCCTTTTCCTGGCAGAATGATGGGTAGGGGAGGAGAGTGAGATTGGGAAATAGGGGTAGGAGAATGAGTCCAATGTGAGGTTTGGTAAGTTGAAGTTACCTATGAGACCGGTGGCAATTCCCAGCCCAAAAGGAATTGGGGCTTAAGAAAGATCAAGATTTGGGAGTTGGTGATGAAGTAGCATTTGAAGCTCTGGGTGTGGAGTGAAATCCTGCGGGATAGGGATATAGAACATTTGTTCTTAAACTTCAGTAGGTGAGTTCTTTCCATGGGTCTAAGTAAGTGGGTAAGGCAAAGACCGCCCTCTGAGAAACACTAGTATAGGACAAAATGGCTTTCTAAGTTTAGATAAAGTTATCCTCCCCAGAGATCCTCTAGTCTTCATATTCTCCATAACATTTTATTATAAAAATTTTCTAACATACAGGAAGGTTGAATGAATTTTACTGTGAGCAATCCTATATGCACTCACTAGATCCACAATTAACATTTGGCAATACTTGCTTCACCACGTATCTGTATTCCTTATGCATCCATCAATCTGTTTTTTTTTTGCATTTCAGAGTAAACTGAAGACATCAGTATGCTTCATCTTGAAGCACTTAAACATTTATATAATTAACCAGAGTTCAATATTTATAGATTTTCTAGGTAAAATTTACATAGATTGAAATGCACAGATCTTGAGTATGTTATTCAAGAATTTTGACATTGTATCCATCTATGTGACTCAAATCTCTGGCAAGATGTGGAATGTTACCATCATTCCAGAAAAATTTCCCCTCTTCTCCCCAGTCAATACCCACCGCCCCCCACCAATCTCCAGAGGCAACTACTGTTCTGATTTTTTCACCATAGCTTAGTTTTACTTATTTTAGAACTTTATATAAATGGAATCATGCATTGTGGACTCTTTGTATTTGACCTCTTTCCAACAACATGATGTTTTGAAGGATCATCCATGATGTTGTGTATAATTCCTTTTTTTTGTTGAGTAGCATTCCGTGATATTACACCATCACTTACCTATCAACTTTTTGCTATCATGATTTGAAGCTGCTATGGATATCCTTGTACACATTTTTTTGTGAATATATGTTTTTATTTCTCTTGAATAAATAGAGTGGAATTCCTGGATCACAGGGCTGGTGCCTGTTTAAGTTTTAAAAGAAACCGTTGGACCTTTTCCCAAAGTGGTGGTACCCTTTTACATTCCCACCAACAAGAGTTCCATTTGCTCTACAACATCACCAACATTTGATGTAAAAAGAATTTCTGGTGGGTGTATCGTAGTAGTTCATTGTGGTTTCAGTTTGCATTCCATTTTGACAAATAAGTTCAGCACCTTTTCAAGTAGTTGTTGGTTGTTTATATCTCTTCTTTTATGAAGTGTCTTTTCAACTATGTTGGCCATTTTTATTGGCTTTCTGACTTTTTTTAAACTAGTTATAGGAGTTTAAAAGATATATATATATATATATATATATATATCTCCTAGATATTAGTCTTCTGTCAGATATATGTTTGCAAATATTTTCTTCGAATCTGCCTATTAACTTTCCTAATGCACAGATGATGACCAATTTTCTTGATGGTCAGAGATTTCTCATTTAATGAAGTCCAGTTTATTGTCCAGCATACCAAAATTTGTATCAGTTTGCCAAGGCTGCTGTAACAAGTGTCATAAACTGGATGCTTAACCAACAGAAATGTAGTGTCTCCTCTTTCTGGAGGTTAGATATCCAAGATCAAGGTGTTGGCAGGGTTGATTTCTTTTTAAGGCTATGAGAATGTGTTCCAAGACCCTCTCCTAGCTTCTGGTGTTTGCCAGCAAGCTTTGGCATTCCTTGGCTTATAGAAATATCACCCCCGTATCTGCCTTTGTTTCCATGTGGTGTTCTCCCTGTGTATATGTCTCTGTTTCCAAATTTCCCCTTTTATATCACGACACCAGTCAGATTGGATACAAGCTTATCCCAATGACTTCATTTCTTGTTTGTTGAAAAGATATTCCTTTGTTAGGTCTTTTGCATTTCCATATATATTTTAAAATCAGTCTGTCAATGTCTACAAAAACACAGGACTATGACTGGGATTGCGTTGGACTTGTAGATCAGTTTGAGAAGAACTGACATCTTGACACTACTGAGTGGTCCAGTTTATGAGCATGGTATATGTCTCCATTGCACCAAGTCTTCTGTAATTTCTCTCAGCAGTATTTTATCCTTTCAGTATACAGGTCTTGCATGACATTTGTTAACTATTACTGAGAATTTTGTGATTTGTTCCTATTGTAAATGGAATTTTTAAAAAATGTACTTTCTAATTGTTGCAGCTAATATATAAAAATATAATGATTTTTGTGTATCCACCCTGTATCCTGTGACCTTGCGAATTTCACTCAGTTTTTCTAGTCCTTGCTTTATAGATTCTAGCAATAATACCATCTGCAGATAGAGACTATTTTACTATTCATTCTCAATCTTTATGCCTTTTATTTCTTTTTCTTGCCTTGCTGAACTGGCTGGGACCTTGAATAATATATTAAACAGAACTGGTGAGAGTGGACATCTTTGTCTTGTTCCCAGTCTTGGGGGGGATACCTTCAGTATTTTAGCATTAAGTAGGATATTAGCTATAGATTTTTTCTTTTTGTAGCTGCCTTTTATCAGACTGAAGAAGCTACCTTCCAAATTCTCTGAGAATTTTCACCATAAAATGATGTTGAAGTTTGTCAGCACTTTTTTAACCTCAGATGGTTTTCTCTTTCACTATGTTAATGTGGTGAATTACATTGATTGATTTTTTTTTAAGTTTTTATTTAAATTCTACTTAGTTAATATATAGTGTAATATTGATTTCTGGAGTAGAATTCAGAGATTTGTCACTTATAACACCCAGTGCTCATCACAAGTGCCCTCCTTAATACCCATCACCCATCTAGCCCCTCCCCCATCCACCTTCCACCAGCGGCCCTCAGTTTGTTAAGAGTCTATAGTAGAGTCTCTTATGGTTTGCTTCCCTCTCTTTTTTTTTCCCCCTTCCCCTATGTTCATCTGTTTTGTATCTTAAATTCCACATATGAGTGAAATCATATGGTATTTGTCTTTCTATGATACACTGATTTTTGAATGTCAAAGCAACCTTGCATTTCTGGGATAAGTCTAACTTAGTCATAATTTATTTCTTTTTAAAATTTTTGTATTTTGTTTTTTCCACTCTTATTGAGATATAATTGGCACATAGCATAGAATTAGCTTAAGATGTACAATGTGATTTGATACTTGTATGTATAGCAAAATAATTACAAAATAACTAGTTCACATCCATCATCTCACGTAGTTACATTTTTCTCTT